GCTGTGAGGCACCTCTCTTTCTTTTCTCAAGCTTGTTTTGATACTATTATTTATAGAGTAAGAAGCACTAGGGAGGCTGCATTGTTTTACTTCCTTGAAAACTGAATACAGAAGTCAGAATACACAATATTATGTGTACTAGTTGTGGAATTTCTTTTTAAGAATTAAATTTGATATAATTATTGAGTTCAACTTGGGTAATAGAAATTCATATCTGCAAGCAACCATGCAAGAAAATTTTGACAAACTACCTAGGATTGAGAATGGTGAGTGCTTTGTTATTCATTCGTCAACCTGACAGGGAGGCACAAAAGGCGAGTGACATGTCAGCAGCTGATAGGTGATATCAAACAAAGAAAAAAATTGTGTCATTTTTCACATGGAAAGTTACGGCTTTCCTTGATGCTGGAGATTGTTGTAAAATCCTGAAGTTAATATATTAGTTTTTTTAAGGAGATTTTCTACCCAACAGTTTTGGAAAACCCTGAGTGATAGGTATAATGCAATGACCTGTGACACTCTATTTCTGATTCAATTCTTACAGATAAACCAGAGAATTTCAAGTTCACAGGAAGTAAATCAACTGTGTGCCAGGGTACTGTGGTCACCGTCAACTGTTCAGCAGATGGAAATCCCTCAGTGGATACCTATCAATTGTTAGAGAATGATTCACTTGTGACTGATGGCAGCAATGGTCTTGGAATGTGGAACAGGAATATGTCAAGTGGAGGAGTGTTCATCTACAAATGCATTGCAAACAAGTCTGCAGGAACAGCATACAGTATGAGCTTAACTGTTACTGTAAATGGTGAGCAACTAGTTCCATCTACAATATATGATTATCATTATGACATTTTTAAAAACAGTCAGTCAGTCATTCATCTTATACAGAAAGTACATGTATTTGTTTTGAACGATGATTAAGTCAAGGATAGGATTCTGGATGGCTGAGATGCTCAAGAAACAATTAAACAAATTACTTTTAGTGTATGTACAGTGTATGTTGTCTAATTTCTTTTTCTCTCTTTCTATGATTTCTATGCGGCATTTTGTTACTCTCACACTAGAAGCTTATAATCAGTAATATGTGGAAAATGAGGTTGCAGCTACATTGTACATTATTTCAGTGACTAATAATTGCCTTAGGAGGGAAATTTTTTTTTTGTAGCTCTAGTTAGTGCCCAACTGACAATGCTGGACCAAAGTGCAAATGCCGTGTTAGTTACTTTGCAGGGCAGACTGCATGTGCTTCTTATTACAGCTTGGCAAGTGGTCCTGGAGTAAACCACAAGCACATGCCCACTAATCTCTTTTTAGTACTGTAACTGTGAAAAAGTACAACCCCTCCACAAATTAAGTTTAGTCAGAAAATTCCTAGAAGGAGGACCTACAAAGCACACCTAATAAGATGGAGTGCACTCTAATGCTGCAAAGGTCCCTCTTCCAGAGAGAGTCTATTTCCAGGGGCTCTGAATGTCATTGGGTAAATTAACCTAGCACACTGAAGATCACTAATAATTGCTGCTTTAACTGCAGTTCACATACATGATTTCACATGTTACAAATGTTGACTCATTACTTCGCTGGCTTATTATGAACCAACATAATGATCAGCTCCCAGTAGGCTTGTTAGCTCAGTTAGTAGCTAGAGCACTGCACGAGTGTTACAGAGGTCACGGGTTCAAATCCCATATGGGCCTGAATTTTTTGCAGGCCCTATTTCACTACTGCTTTAAAGAAATGGTCATTACTGCAAAGATCACTCTCATACTTATTTCTTTAACTGCATTTCACATAAATTATGTGATTTTCATATATTAACAAACATTGACACCAACAGTTCCTTTCAAGTTTCATTATTGCTGTCCATTTGCCTTTGACTCGGCAACCAAGATTGCTGGGAATGTCACTGTCAGAAATATTATCATGTAACTGTGTGTACAATTGTCTAAAAGCAGTTGGTGCTTTCGGTAAAATCCAACAGATGGTTCAGAAAAAAAATAATTAAAAAAAAAAAAATCATGTTAGCCTGCCATGCAAAACTCTAGTAGAGTTGTGGATAGCAAAATCCTAAAGAATTAGGATCAATAATTTGGGTTACTGAGTTGCTGTTATTCCCATGGTCATGTCAAGCTATAAATAACTATGTTGTTCATTTGTTTTAATATTACAGTGTCCTCATCCATACAAGAAATATTAGATCAAAATGTAACTGAAGGAAACAACTTGACTCTGACATGTAATGTATCTGGAATCCCAACACCTGTGGTGTCTTGGATTAAGCCTGATGGTCAGAGGTTTAATGAAAGTGTGTTGGAGCTTTTGAAAGTTAGTAGGAATCAAAGTGGGACGTACAGATGTGAAGCCAGTAATGACTGTGGCAATGCAGTGAAGACAGCAAGCGTTGAAGTGCAATGTAAGCAAAAGTTATCCTTTACCTGTTATTAATTTTCATGTATTTCTGTGTCTTAGCATAACAATTTGCCTGTCAGTGTTGCTGTATTGTTGGACAGACTTGTTATGTGCTAGACTCAAAAGCATCACTGAGGACTTTCCTAAAAGTGGGTGAATGCTAATTTGTTTATTGCGATTGATCAATGAAAAAAGGAACTCATACTTGAGTTGCAGTCACAGTAAGCTAAAATTAAGGGTTTTCCAAGGGCTATAATATACTGTATACATAACTGTTGTTATGTAGACAAAAAAAAATTAACATTTCAAGAATGATTAGGCAAACTGAAAAGCTATTTAAGGCCAAAAACCCTCAAGCTAAGCAAATGATAAGAGCCCTAGGCACCTGTTGAACTGGCTCAAAGTTTACTTTCCCTCAAACACCTGTAGCTTTAAAATAAAGCTTTAACACACAAGCAGTATTTTGAACACTGCATGTAGTGAGAAATGTCAGGGATACACAAATGTCAGTATTCCATCAGCTATGGATAAAGAAGGTGACCCCCTTGGCTACTTTAAATATCTAAATGTAACTTACAATGGCCAAAGAAGGTATACTTATAAATTGTCTCTTTCTTCCGCAGACAAACCAGAGAATGTCCAGCTAATGAGTTCTGCCACCAACTACAAAGCATGTAGGGGAGATGTCATTAGCTTTAACTGCTCGGCTGATGCTAATCCAGCAGTGGTATCATACCAGCTGTTTGAGAACGAAACTGCTATTTTAAACACGAGTGCCACAGGAATGTGGAGCAAGACTTTGGAAAATGAAGGAGTGTTTATCTACAAATGTGTGGCTCATAACAAGCTGGGATCAATGTACAGTACAAATGTCATGCTAACAGTCAATGGTAATTTCTTTGAATTTTATCACTTTTAATCAACTTCTAGCCAGTTTGCTCCTATAAGACATTTTTTCAAAGTACAAGACTTAGTTTACAAGTGATTATCATGCTATATATATGTCCCATCATACAAAGAAGTGATCTTCACTTAGTAAATCTTGTTCTACATTATGTTTCCAAATTCATGAAATTGTACCATATTTTTATTTATATTATTTTATTTATAAACTTTTGTTTCAAGCCCTATTTCACCTTACACCTGTCTATCAAAATTGAACTTATGTAAAACCACACAAACAAATAGTCCATTGTACAGTTGCTTGTCTGGTTACCAAGCCTTTGAAGAGGAGTGAGGCTTAGGTTGACCTAATGTCATGATACAAATGTTGCTACTCATCAAATGTAAATTACTTTGTTATTATACTACTGCAACCAGATACTGGTCTCTATCTCAACAAGGTCACCTATAGCCTCACTCTGAATCAAAGGCTTGGCAACCAAGTACACAACTGTTAAATGACCTAGTCCATGAGAATGATGTAGATTATCATTTTGAAAAAGAGAGCAGTTTCCATAATTACACAATGAACATTTGCTCTGATGAATTGTTTATGCTCAAAATGTCAGCTCTAGAAACACTTTACACAGGTCAATCTACATCATTTATCAACCCAGCTGATAAAAGAAAAGTATCTTGTTGTACCCTCCACTCACACAACACCACAGTTTCTTCAGATACTTTCCCCTTTTATCATAGTTAGTAGTCCCCTCTACTAACTTTGCTTTTATCAATCAACATAAATTATAACATAACAATTATAACTCAATTGCATGAGTGTGTTTCAATTTCCCATTGTGCTCGCTGGTGACATCAGCAAACAAATGCCTTGCGAAACAATGTGTTCTTGCAAATGACCTCAGCATTTTTCATTGAAAAACCTGAAAAACTTCCGCTAAAAAGTTAAACTAGACAAGGCAACAAGCAAACAAGCCAATGAAGATCTGCCTACTTTTTCTTTGGGGATGGATTTTTTAACTCCCGAGAAAGAAGCCAGAGAAAGGGAAAACAGAAAACAATCAATGCTGGTTTCATCTTGTTCGGCAACTCTAAGTTCATTTACATGCATGAATCACCAGTCAGTTTTTGACCAATCTGAGATGTGATCATTGAAGCATAGCAAAATACTCTTCTAAAACAAAATAAACAACACATTGAGATGTAGGAGAGGGAGTTTCTGCCCTTTATACATAAACTACTGCGTTAAAAATGTTATAAAACAATTGGTCCATTGTGTTAGCTGTGCATTCATCCAGGATTGAAGCACTTGGGAAGTTTGGAGAGCACTCAAGAAGCTAGAGTCAATTACAAGAACTTTGACACTTAAGAGCTGATGTTGAGACTCGATGGCCATATGGGAAATGTTCGCTTAGAATGATGTTCAGAATGATGTTTTGCTGAAGGCCAGTGACCAGCTGCTATATGTATTTAAACCTTTCATCATTTTCACTCTTTATTTTACAGTACCTTCTTCAATTATCCAAATAACACAACATCAGAATGCTACTGAAGGTGGCAATGTGACTCTTATGTGTAATGTATCTGGAGTGCCCCCACGAACGTTGTATTGGATGAAACCTAATGGTGACCGTTTTGAGGGATTGAAGTTGGAAGTTAAAAATGTTAACAGGAGTGAAGTTGGTGAATACAAGTGTGAAGCCAGTAATGAGTGTGGCAATTCAACTAAGATGACAAGAATTGATGTGCAGCGTAAGTACATATAAAAGTTGTCCCGTCTTACTTGTTGCTTCTTGTATGTCTTTATAGACAAAATATGACTATATAATAGACTATATGTTATACTTACTATTTCAATTTTTTGCTGGAGAGACCTGTTTTTGTGAAGCTTACGATATGACTCAAAAGCATCACTGAAACTTTTTTTCCTATTCCTTAAAAATGGGTGAATAGTAATTGGCTAATTTCGATCAAACAATGAAAAATGGAACTCATATTTGAGATGTAGGCACAGTAAGCTAAAATGAAGGGTTTCCCAAGAGGCTATAACGTTGCTCTGATAGCATTGGTGAGAAAATATTGCAAGTGTTCAGGAATAATTGGGTAAAATGAAAAGCCACTTTGAGGCTAAAAAGGCCTCCATAAGCTATCTTAAAGCCAAGCCAATGGCAAGAGATAAGTGAAATATATCGACAAAGTTGAAATGGTAAATTGGCCACCGTTACGATTATAAAAGCTGACGTTTCGAGCGTTAGCCCTTCATCGGAGCAAAGGGCTAGCGCTCGAAACGTCAGCTTTTGTAATTGTTATGGTGGCCAATTTACCATTTCAACTTTGTTGATATATCCAGGTTAATAGACTGTCATGGTATGGGTGAAATTACTCACGAAAACAAACTTAGTGGCAGGCATAACTATGTCTTAGAGACTAGTGAAATGCCAAAGAATCGAGTTATTGTTAGAGAAGAGAATTGAGTTGATCAAATGCACAGAATGTTATTAAGTTAATAAATTTTGCAGTTCACAAAGATGAGAACTATCTATAACTGGTTCTAGAGCTGGAAAATTTAACCAAAAGAAAAATAGTTGAACAAGGTTGTAATCAGATGCAGGTAACACTGGATTCCTTTTTCCAAAAGCATTTAAAAGCAGCCATCATATTACATTATGCGGCATAAAATTGCATTTTAGGTAAAACCTCAATACACCAGACACCTCTCTAAAACCGGACATTTCCTCTGGTCCCAAGGGTGTCCAGTTTTGAGGAGGTTCCACTATAATCCCTCCCACCAACACAGCTCCAGATTGTTTTTTAGAAACCCATTGCTTTATTCTTTAGCTCTATGTAATCATGTTTACTAAATAGCGATAGTATAATTATGGTAAAAATTGATCAAACCTTTGAAAATACCAGTCGACATTTCATGTAATGGAGAGAATTTGGAATAAGACACACACCAAACTGCTAGGCATCCATGTTAACGAACACTTAACTTGCAATATTCATATTAATGAACTAGTAATGTCATGCTATGGAGCCCTGGCCATGCTAAAAAAGTTATATAACCTAGCACCGTTCCTTTTGAAGAGGCAGTTAGTAGAGAGTTTGTTCCTATCTAAGTTAGATTATGGTAGTACAATGTTCTTTCCATTGCCATTGTGTCAGCAAAAGCACTTACAAAGAGTCCAAAATGTATGCGTGGGTTATGTATTAGGTTGCTATGCGAAAGAAGCAGACTGCCTACAGCTGGGCTGGCTACCGGTGATAGAGCGTAGAAGTTCTCAGTTACTGCAGTGCGTATTCAAAGCACTATACTTTGACTATTGACCACAGTACTTAAAACTCGAACAATACGTACCAGCAAGAAATCTACGCTCGTCCTGTGAAGTCAGATTAAAGGTGCCCATTGAAACTGGTACTTTTCAAGACAGCTCAGCAGCCATTTTCAATGCATTACCAAGTTATTTTAATTTAATTTTAACGTAATTTACATAGCGCCAACTCCACTAATTGACCAAAGCGCTTAAATCTGCGAAACTGTACAGNTAGAGAAGCCATTCAAGTTGAAGAGAATGATATGTTAAGAATAGAATGGCCTCTGGCTACAAGCCAGTGAACAGCTGCTATTTAAACCCTTCGTCATTTTTACTCTCCATTAATTTTTACAGTTCCTTCTTCAATTATCCAAATAACACAAGATCAGAATGTAACTGAGGGTGTCAATGTGACTCTTACGTGTAATGTGTCTGGAGTGCCTCCACCAATAGTGTCTTGGATGAAACCTAATGGTGATCGTCGTGTTGGATACCTGTTGGAGGTTACAAACATTAACAGAAGTGAAGCTGGTGAATACAAATGTGAAGCCAGTGATGAGTGTGGCAATGCAACAGAGATGGCAGAGATTGATGTGCTTTGTAAGTGTATCATTGTCTTCACTAAAGGTAGCTTTTATTGCGTGTATGATGTACATGTACCTAATTTGTATCAATGGGAATTAAGGAATTGTCAATGTGCTTAATATTATTTGTGTTTTTGGTGACCTATGATGTAAACAAAAGCTTGATATGGGTGTGATCAACAGAAATCTGCACTGATTTAGTTCCACATGTACATGTGTATTGACAGAAAATAAATTTCTTAATTTGTAGAAGTTTTTTACTTAGAAAGGTTGTGTCGAAATTACTTAAATTGATAGAGAAACTGAAGATATCTATAGTCATAAGGGATGCATCTGTGACAGGTCATAGTGCCTCTTTCATCATGTGGAGCTATTAAAACAAATGTTTTTCAAATTAATGACTAATCAACCTCAAGTTGTTTTAAAAAACTTTGATGGGATCTTAACTCCCACAAAAATATTCCATAATGATTGAAATTACTTACAATAATATTGGTCTTGGGGCATAAATTTTTTTTCTTTCAATTCATGGCATGATTCTAGAGCTTTCACAGTATGTGGGAATTTTTTATCTGAGATGTGTAATTTGCATGGCGGTATTCTTTTAAGAACACCTGATATTCAAAAAAATATGCATGAAGGACTTTGAACCAATAATTATGTTATTTGTGTTTATGACCCATATTTTACTCACTTCATCTCTGCCAATATCATTGTTGAAGTTAAAAAACACTGTATAATGCATAATTTTTTTTAGATTTGAATACATTGTACAGGTGTATGTTGTGTTTTTTGATAACTAATTATTAGTTGCTGAATTTTTTTTTAATTTGATGTTTTGAAATTGCGCCAAACCAACCACCAATGTTCTATCAACATCATACAGTATATTTTCTAATCCACCAAGTAAATCTCTTTAAGCAAATAATATACTTTTGGGTATTTTATAACACTTTTCTTGTGAATAGCTGCTACATGCATGACAGTGTATACAGTGGTTTTTTTACACTGTAGATAGCCACTCTGAGGTTGTTTAGATACATGCTGGCACATCGTACATTGGAAAATAAACTTTTAAATCTTACAATCTTCAATTTTTAGTAACTAAAGAACTGCATGTGCATATAGTCCTTTTAATTCATTTCCAGGTTTGTTGCTCAGTTACTGTGTATCTTAGCCACCAGACCTCTTTAAACAGTAATGACCATTAAAAAAGGATTCTTCTTGTAGTAAAGAAACTAAAATAAAATTATTTTGTGCATAACTAATGTAGGTGTGAAGATATCCAATGGTAAAGATGATACTTTTACTTGATGTGCAAAAGTACTTGTATTTCAGGGAAAAGGTTACCTCTAGTAGGTCTTGCATGCAAAATCTAGTGCAACTCTCTTGACCAATTAATGGTACATTTAAATGTACATGTTTAAAGGTAATGTTTGCTAAGTAGAAGTTTCCCTGTTTTTACATTGCATTCATTCTTGTCAACTTTTTTTGGCATTTTTCTTTTTGCCTTTGGTTGCTGGAATAACAAACACCTGTACTCCAGGTTTGGTGTTTTTTAACACTCTTTTATTAATGAAAAAGCACTCACCTTAATAAAGTGTTTCCTAGAGATTTGTATGACTCTACCCAAAATTGTTTGTTTGTTTAACAGATC